CACACACAAACCACAGACACCCACACACAAACCACAGACACCCACATACAAACCACAGACCCCACACACACAAACCACAGACCCACACACACAAACCACTCACTAATTCTCCTTTGAGGAACTGATTTGCATCTTCTCTGTCCACGACGGAACGTTTGATCCTGCCAGCTTGTGTGTGTGTGTGTGTGTGTGTGTGTGTGTGTGTGTGTGTGTGTGTGTGTGTGTGTGTGTGTGTGTGTGTGTGTGTGTGTGTGTGTGTGTGTGTGTGTGTGCGTACGTGCGTGCGTGTGTGTGAGGAAAGGGCGGCCTCGGAGTAGGCAACTGGGGAACACCTCGGGCAGTAGCACTTACGAAGCTAGTAAATAAGAAAGCATCTTTGAGAGGGCCACCTTGAAAGGTTAGCTATGAGAGAGCAGCCATGAGATGGTACCCAAGAAAGGAAATGCCCGGAAAGTAGCAAGGATATCTTAAAAGCTGGCACTCGACAATCACACGAACCAACCAACTTTAACACTGTCACAGGCTTTACAATCTTCACAAGAATGTCAATAAAACCCTTCAATAAATATATACCAAATTATAAATATAAAATTATGAGAAAATATTTCATTACAATTTTGACCCCACTGCCTCAGTTCAGTAGCATCTTGAGGTTATCTTGAGATGATTTCGGGGTTTTAGTGTCCCCGCGGCCCGGTCCTCGACCAGGCCTCCACCCCCACGAAGCAGCCCGTGACAGCTGGTTAACACCTAGGTACCTATTTTACTGCTAGGTAACAGGGGCATAGGGTGAAAGAAACTCTGCCCATTGTTTCTCGCCGGCGCCTGGGATCGAACCCGGGACCACAGGATCACAAGTCCAGCGTGCTGTCCGCTCGGCCGACCGGCTCCCCGGTCGCCTCAGAGAGACTCAGAGTGCCTCAGAGACACTTGGTGCCTGTGGGTAAAAGTGGCACTAGTTTTTTGAAGGAGCTGGGTTCTAAGCTAATTGAAACAACAAGAGACCCTAGAGCCGCCAGCTTTTTTTTTTTTTCAGCGCCTTAGTGTAGCGATCCAGAGAGGAAACGCTCACTGTATCCAAGGTTCCTGCCCGCCATCTGAGGAGCTGGAAGAACTCGACAACCTGTGACAAGTAGCCTTGTACCTTGCACGTTATCTTGAGATGATTTCGGGGCTCAGCGTCCCCGCGGCCCGGTCCTCGACCAGGCCTCCTTTTTGTTACACATCCCCAGGAAGCAGCCCGTAGCAGCTGTCTAACTCCCAGGTACCTATTGACTGCTAGGTGAACAGGTGCATCAGGGGTAACAAAAACTCTGCCCATCTGTTTCCATCGGCGCCGGGATCGATCCCAGACCCTAGGATTACGAGCCCTAAGTGCTGTACACTCAGCCACAGGCCCCCAATGTTGCAACCCAACACGTAACCAATGTTGCAACCCAACTTGTGTAATGAAGTTTTAAATAATAAAATTACAAAATACACAATATATTGAAGGTGGTAGAAGTCAATATGAGTGTACACGGCCACAAGGCTTCCCCGGAGACCAGACGTGAGAAGATTAGCTGCAGTGTGGAGAACAGGAAGTGCCTCTTCTCTCTGTGATAGACCTGCTGGAAGAGCTCACAGGAAGTGCCTCTTCTCTCTGTGATAGACCTGCTGGAAGAGCTCACAGGAAGTGCCTCTTCTCTCTGTGATAGACCTGCTGGAAGAGCTCACAGGAAGTGCCTCTTCTCTCTGTGATAGACCTGCTGGAAGAGCTCACAGGAAGTGCCTCTTCTCTCTGTGATAGACCTGCTGGAAGAGCTCACAGGAAGTGCCTCTGCTCTCTGTGATAGACCTGCTGGAACAATTCACAGGAAGTGCCTCTTCTCTCTGTGATAGACCTGCTGGAATAGCTCACAGGAAGTGCCTCTTCTCTCTGTGATAGACCTGCTGGAAGAGCTCACAGGAAGTGCCTCTTCTCTCTGTGATAGACCTGCTGGAACAGCTCACAGGAAGTGCCTCTTCTCTCTGTGATAGACCTGCTGGAACAGCTCACAGGAAGTGCCTCTTCTCTCTGTGATAGACCTGCTGGAACAGCTCACAGGAAGTGCCTCTTCTCTCTGTGATAGACCTGCTGGAACAGCTCACAGGAAGTGCCTCTTCTCTCTGTGATAGACCTGCTGGAACAGCTCACAGGAAGTGCCTCTTCTCTCTGTGATAGACCCACAGGAACAGCTCACAGGAAGTGCCTCTTCTCTCTCTGTGATAGACCCACAGGAACAGCTCACAGGAAGTGCCTCGTCTCTCTGTGATAGACCAGCAGGAACACACTGCACAAAGTGCATCTTCTCCCAGCAACAGACAAGAGGAACTGACCAACATAGCCCATTCTCCCTCCAGGGAGCGACAGGCCGCCTGCCTGCCTGCCTGCCTGCCTACCTGCTTGCCTGCCTGCCTGCTTGCCTGCTTGCACGCCTGCCTGCCACAAGCAAGAACTGTAATTAGCTACAAACTAAACACTGACAAAACACGTAATATGCACTAGAGAGACACCTCACAAGGCCATCAGTCACTCTACCTTCCTCTCTTCCTTTTATAACGCTACCTCTACACCTTTCCCTTTTAAAACAGCCAGAGCCTCTGACAAAGATAATTAAAAAGACAAAAAAGCACAATGATCTTTGGACATGAACTCCAACAAAGGACTGGAAAATCCACTCTCCCTACTCTCATTATGTCCAGAGAAGTAATTAATGTACGAGTCGCTATAAACGCCAATTAACTAGGGAGGGGAAAAAAAAAGGCTGAAACGCAACACGTGAACTGTTGTCATGAGATTAAAAAATCCAGCAGGTCTTAATGGAGATAGCCTCTTTAAGCTTTAGTAATGTCTATGTCTCTCTCTCTCTCTCACTCGCTCTCTCTCTCTCTCTCTCTCTCTCTCTCTCTCTCTTCTCTCTCTCTCTCTCTCTCTCTCTCTCTCTCTCTCTCTCTCTCTCTCTCTCTTTCTTTCTCTCATATATATATATATATATATATATATATATATATATATATATATATATATATATATATATGAGAGAAAGAAAGAGAGAGAGAGAGAGGTGTGTATGTATGTGTGTGTGTGTGTGTGTGTGTGTGTGTGTGTGTGTGTGTGTGTGTGTGTGTGTGTGTGTGTGTGTGTGTGTGTGTGTAATGAACCATACCTCAGAGAGAAGAGACATGTAAGATTATCAAGACAAAGTGAACATGATGTCTGGGCAACAACCAACGAGGGACCATGAACTACAGGGTCTTGGTTGGAGACAGGTCTCTCACAATTATTTATTATTAACATCTTTATTGACAAAATTAATTACAATTTTGCCTAATCTGAGGATTTCAATTAAGTCCTATTAAAGTGAGGATAATGCTGGTGTTAACTGTCACGCAGGACAGAGGGTCATACACAAGACAATAAGTCTAAACTGTAGGCGGAAGCACATATATATCATGGTTACAATCAATGGTTTAATGTATGGATATGTGAAAACAACTTTCTATTGTGCACTGCCACACAAGGGCAGGGATATCACATAGACGGATAGAATCAATGTAATTATGTATAAGAGGAGGCAGTAAAGGTTGGGATATAGGATAGACTAATGTTATCTATTACAATATATTAAAAATACAAATTGTAATACAATCCATTCAGTACAGTTTAGGGGCAGACTAATGCTGTCTGTATTAATTTAACAAAGTCTTATGAGACGATATGCTGGGATCTTAAGAGGTTTGAATGTCATTGAACGGTACAATCAACAGCTCAAATTATGTAGTCCAAGAGCTGAAGCTCAACCACTTTAAACTCGACTACGTGAGTTGGGGGCAGGTGAGTGTGTTGTTTTTACTCGAGTTCACTCCCTTTCACTCGACCCTCACTTCACTCCTTAAATCCTCAAGATGAATATCCCCCCCCCCCTTCCCTTTTATTTCCCCATTCACCTCTTCATCTTCCATTCTGTCCTTCCTATTTCCTGTTCTTCCCTCCATTCTCCCAACTTTTCCTTCCCCTGCCCATCCGTCAAGTGCCTCCTCCACCCTTCACCCCTCGACCGTCGGCACTCCAGGCTGGAACGTTTGATATTCTAGGCGACACTTTGGGTAACGTGAACGGGTTATAATCACGAGTTTCCCCCTTCCCTGCTCCTCTCTACACCTGCTCTTCATCTCCTCTTCGTAATCGTTAACCTTCCTATACTGTGCCTACTGTTTCCCCCCCACTCTGTCTCACAGCATGCAGGTCGGCGTTCAATCCCCGGCCTTCCAAGTGGTTGGGTACCATTACCTACCCCTGTCCCATCCCAAATCCTTATCCTGACCCGTTCGAAGTGCTATATAGTCGTAATGGCTTGGCACTTTACCCTGATAATTCCCTCCCTCCCCCTCCCCCCCCCCCCTGATGTTCCACCTCCTCCTGCTTACCTAACAGTGACTGCGGGGAAGGGGAATGGAACTATCAGGAGAACGCGCCAGGCCATTACGACTATATAACACTTGGAAGGTCAGGATAAGGATTTGGGATGGGACGGGGGGTTGGGGGGAGGAGTGACTTCGGGGAAGCCTTCTTGTACTTGTTGCTTTATAACTTATCTTACCTGACCCTGGAATTCTTTGTCGTATCTGACTTTCTTAAAGTTGTAGATGGAGGTGGCTTCCACAACTTGCTCTTTCAGTGCATTTCCCGCTTCCATTTTATGTTCAATTGTCATTACTTTCTCTCAACTTAAAATGGCTGTGTTTGACCACTTTTGCTGTTTCCACAAAGCTCCAGTTCATATTTCTCTTTTTCAAAACTTTTCCTTCACCTGTGTCTCTCCATCATCTTTATTCCAAACCCCAAAAAAGTCGAACTGTAGCAGAAGTATGACCCCGTCCTCCACACATTCCCTGTGCATTACTCCTAAAGTAATTATTTACATAAAAATAATTATTTAATAAATAATAATAAGTAATAATTTACATTATTACTAAAGTCCTGGAAAGATCGCATCTTCTATAACACTTGATAGTATTTTTTTTTTTGGGGGGGGGGGGAATACCTTACCTTGAGGTTACCTTAAGGTACTTCCGGGGCTTAGCGTCCCCGCGTCCCGGTCGTCGACCAGGCCTCCTGGTTGCTGGACTGGTCTACCAGGCTGTTGGACGCAGCAGCTCGCAGCCTGACGTATGAGTCACAGCCTTTTTGATCAGATATCCTTTGGAGGTATTGAAATAGCCTAAGCTACTCTATTCCTTTGAGATGTCTTTTTTTTTCCTTGTCTCAATAAACATACTTGAGCTTGTTAGTTTTGTTTCCGCTATGATAATAATGTGTGGTTGTTTTTGTAGCACCTTTGTTTGTAACTCTTGCAGGCGATGAGTCACAATAACGTGGCTGAAGTATGTTGACCAGACCAGACACTAGAAATTGAAGGGACGACGACGTTTCGGTCCGTCCTGGACCATTCTCAAGTCGATTGTGACGACTTTGTAACTCTTACTAACTATAAGGTGATGGGTGTTTCCCATCACCTTATGTCCCCTTTTTACATTCATATAGATTATATTTACCGCTCCTCATCTCCAATACGCTGCTTTGGCTCTGGTTGTTGATTTAGCTGTGTCTCTGTCTCTTCTTCGTCCTCCTCCTCAATCTCTTCATCGTTCCTCACTGTCTCCCTTTACCAACACTTCTTTGAGTGTGTCAGTAAGTCAGACACACTCGGTACTTGTAGGACGAATTGATGCTGACAGTGGTGGAGGGGGGGAAGATGTGGGAGGTAGCAAGAGAGTGAAAGAATGATGGTGCTGGTAGTGGTGATGGTAATAGTGATATTGGTATTGATATTACAACAATGTTAAAGAAAACAAACACATTAACAAAATTTACAGTCTGTTAAAATTTAGTCTGTCAAAATTTACAGTCTGTCAAAATTTACAGTCTGTCAAAATTTACAGTCTGTCAAAATTTACAGTCTGTCAAAATTTACAGTCTGTCTCTAAACACAATAACCAAATTCAACTAGAATTTGACCTAAGGGAGGTTAGGCCTCCGTTAGGCTAGGTTAGGTTAGGCGCAGGTTAGGTTAGGTTAGGTTAGGTTAGGTTAGGTTAGGTTAGGCTAGGCTACGTTACCTTAAGTACGGCTCTTTTCAGTTCCAATAACACATTATCCCAGTAGGATAAGATGAACTGTTTCTGATGGTAAACCCACAACACACACGGGATGCCATATGGTCCCTATTTGGAGAAGCACTTAGCGGCCAGCCAGAGGCTAAAGGGCCCGAACAGGAATATCCCTATGTGAAGCGTCCTAACAGAGGATTGGGTTGTTAAGATAATTAAATCGGAAAAAGCAATTAATTTTTTGTTCTTTTTTATAGGCGATTATCTCAACTATACAGGGGAAAAGAACAATTCTCATATGTTAGCAATATGGTTGAAGAAAACCTCTCGTCCCTGCAAACCAAAACACTATCTTTTAACTAGCGTTTTGATAAAATCAGATTGCCGACTAATATCTGATAGTGATAGTTTGAATTTCCGTTATCGGATACAGGAAGCTTGTACATAGGCTTATCGAGGCCCCCCCCCTCCATAGGCCGACTACTGATCTTCCCCAGGATTCAACAGATGTCTATCTCCCAGGTACCTATTTAATTAACTATTATGTAAACAGGGGCATTAGGTGAAAGGAAATGTGTCTAAACATTTCTATCCCGCACTGGGAATGAACTGGGTCCCTTGGTTGTGATCCGATGACGTAGACCACTGTGCTACAGGGCTCTTTGAGCACTTCAAACAATAACACGTCATGTTAGCAATAACTGATGAAAGTAATAACTGGTGTTGGTTTCCTAATTCCGTGTCCATTTGGAAACACAAGACATGTTCCAGGGGGGTTCGACACCCGCATCAATCTGGAAGCACAATACACATTCCAGGAGTGCCGGAAAACCGAATCATTAATCATATTATATTATTTTCTTAATGTTTTTGTTGTCCCTTGGCAGCACGATAATATCACAACCTGCCCAGGTTATTGAAGACAAATAAAGACTTATATGATAACCGAAAAAGACTCTTAAACTTTACAGCGACCCAACAAAGACCGCAAAAGCATTGTAATGCCTTCAACACTGGCTTTCATCCTCCTCATTCAGTGCAGGACATCTCGTGAATAACCAGTCCAACCACTTGGGCTGGACGGTAGAGCGACGGTCTCGCTTCACGCAGGTCGGCGTTCAATCCCCGACCCTCCAAGTGATTGGAAATTGAAATTGAAATAAGTTTATTGAGGTAAAATACACACAAGGGGATGAGGTAGCTCAAGCTATTCTCACCCCATTCAGTACAACGTGTTAATATATACATAGACACACATCACAAATAAACACATTACCAAACATTCTGAGAGGTAAACATATGGATTGATTGATGTGTGTCTATGTATGGACATATAAGTGATTGGACACCATTCCTTCCCTCCGTCCCATCCCAAATCCTTATCCTGACCCCTTCCCAGTGCTATATAGTCCTAATGGCTTGGTGCTTTCCCCCTGATAATTCCCTCCCCTCGTGAATAACCAGGAACCCGGGCTTGGATAAGCCAGCCGCTCCTCACAACACTGACCAAACGCTGGTTAATCCGCCAGCCGCGTCTCTCCCTTCTTTTTATGGATGAAAACAAATGAGCGTTAATCCCGGTACCCGCCTCCACATTTAAACCTGTTTATGAATGAGTTTTTTTTTCAAAACGTTCAAAGTTTTCTCGAACAGTGCGTCGTTGACGTCCTGTTTTTGCTGCTCACCTCTCACTACATTTCACTCACGCACGGTATATTAATATATATGTATATATATATATATATATATATATATATATATATATATATATATATATATATATATATATATATATATATATATATATATATATACACACATGTATACACTACACTCTAATACGTAATAATATTAATATATATTTGAGAAAAACCTAGTTTCAATTTCAAAGCATGGCAAAACTTGAATGCACCTTTAGGGACTGATTGCTGCAGCTTGGACGAGCATAACTTCATAATGGGTTGGTGTCGGGCGCAGCTTGAGCGAGCATAACCTGAGGGTGTGTTAGTGTCGGGCGCAGCTTGGAAGAGCATAGCTTTAGGATGGGCTGGATAAGCCTTGGATCAGCACTGAGAGGTTCACGATTGGACCACACAGGCGATGAGCTCCGAGACAAACACAGTCGAGAGATAAAGCCTCAGCCGTGGCGATTGAAATTGGAGTAACCTCAAGGTGGGTATCCTAGTCTGTCTGGATCTGCCTCGACCACAGCACAAAGAAAAAGGGATAATCCTGCCAATGGATCCACACACAGGCAAACAAGATTAAAATAATTGGATGAAGATGAAGCTGAAAAGAGAAAGAAAATGAGAGAGAGAGAGAGAGAGAGAGAGAGAGAGAGAGAGAGAGAGAGAGAGAGAGAGAGAGAGAGAGAGAGAGAGAGAGAGAGAGAGAGAGAGAGAGAGACGGAGGTTGAGGGAAACGGAAAAACATTGTTAACCAGTATTTTATTTCGAGTTGAAATTTGAGATAACAGCTTGCCGATGGCCTCCGTCTGTTCTTTGTTGACATGTCAACTTCCCGGCGTTCTCACGGGTGACGTGAAGTCAACAAAGGCGGATACGTGTCACCTACATACGTGACACAAGGAAGCCTTCCCGACCTAAGAAAACCTTCCTAAGCTATTAAACAGCATCTCTGGGTCGAGTCTTTGAGAACAGCGCACAATACACATGCAAATATTTCCTCAATTCCATCACATTAGTGTCTAGTTCAGCAGCTCCCTCGGCTGGCGTGTGGGGTGGGTGTTGATGCAAGCAGCAGGATACTCAGACGTCGAATGATTTCCTTTTAGCCTACATTATTGCTTTTAAATGTGACCTTTATTCTGTTATATTTTATCGTCTTAGTTCTGTAACTATCCCTTTGAAGAGCGTCCCTGGGGCACTGTACAGGAACCAGAACACAGGTGAACACAAACTACACTCGGGTGCTTAGTGAACACGAGTCAAACCTCATGTGTTCGGTGGACACGAACTAAAACACACATGCTCAGTGCACACAAACTACACACACACATAGGTGCTCAATGCACACAAGGCAGACTCAGGTACTCAGTGTACACAAAGTGTACAAAGGAAGAGCTAACACTCAAGTGTAGCGATCAGTTATCGGGTTGGCTTGATACTAACCTGCGGAGGTGTGACCTACGCGCGGGCCTCGAATCTTTCCAATGGCCCGCCCAGCTGTCATAGCTATAACCTAACTTACTTAACCTCTCTATGCCAGCTTGTCTTGTCATGCATTATGTCTTCAGGCTCGTTTCTGTAGCTCAGCAGACTTGTTACTTATTTGATTTTGGTTGTTACATATCAGATGTTACCTTTATTGCATTTTTTTGGTAATGTGGTGTTTAATTTCAAGAGTTTGGTATCCCTTTGGCATATTTGGTGTCCATTTGAGCATGTTTGGTGTCCACCCCTGCATGTTTGGTGCCCACCCCAGCATGTTTGGTAGAATGAACGTGCGTGAGAAGGTAGTGAAGGTGAGAGGGGGAGGGTAGGGTGCGGCCCGCCAGGCAGGACATAGCCGTGATCCGGAGGGGAAGGAGTGGACACACTACCACGTCCCCCAACAAGTCAATATTGAAGTTCCCTCACTTGCT